TATTGGAAAGAGGGCTTCTATATACGTCGAAATCATCAAATAAACAGCTCATGCACACATTTCTCCACTTCGCGGTAAGTTTACAGAGCATATTTTATACTTTGTGACTGATCTTTGTCTTTGATGTGAACATTTATTCTTATAGTTTAAGGTTATTTAAGATTGATCCTGTCGTAAGTCTTCTACCTGCAACCATTCGACAATATTTCGTTTTAGCGTTGTCTTTGCCGTTACGTTGGCTTCGCGTTACTTTTGTTTTAAATATCTTGATCGCGTTAAAAGAGTTATTTTTCAGGCCAGTGACATAGCTAAAGGACTTGATATTAATGTCCTTGTGATTTTATAGAGATATCTCTAGAACTGAGGATTTTAGAAAGCGTTATCTGTACCTTCTCAAAGTTGTAGACAAGATATGTTGTTTACGTCCAACACGCATAAGATTGCATAACTCAAAATGATTCGAGCAAAACCGATCTTTTGTTAGAAGGAAGAATGTTTAATAGAAATTGGTCCTTTTGAGTGACATAATCGTGTATCGTCATCGATCCGTATCGTTGAACAATGAAAAAAATTGTTGTGAAATTAGTGAAGATGAAATAGCATTTTGTGAAAAAACTGCGGGTCTACGGAGTGGGAACTTTTCGGATTTGAACTCAGCGTGTTCGAAAGTGTTAGTTCCCGCAAAAATATTTCAGATCTAAGACATGCTTAATGAAAGTGAACGATATCGGGTCACAACACACGGACTAGTAGTTAGTGGCCTTTCGTCAGGACGTTTGGCTATACTAACTTCCCGACGAAGACTTCTCCTGAAAAAATACATTTTTCAGGTAGTTGCATCCCTACCAACGAAAGCTTTGTTATCCATAATTAATCCGTCTATCCTAATCTGGCATGATAGATCTATTTTCTTTATTTCAGGCTGCCTTTATTCATGCATTTCTCTACAAAGCTCTTGGATTACCGCTGAGATGAGAGTTTATTCATTGCATGGGTTGAGGTTAAGCTGAATTACGAAGGACGCAGCTCAACCTGATCAAGTCGAAGGATTTCTATAAGGGCGCCTATGGCAGCCACATTATGACTTATGTCTGATTACGGAGCACAGCTATACGCTGGAAGGGTCAGTTAGGGGGATAATCCCAACCCACCCTGTCAACATTCCCTGTGGGAGGAAACCGGAGTAACCGCAGAAAACCCCTTTTGGTAGAGCGTTGACTGACTCTTATTATTCATCTTTTGTTCATATATTTAGAATATTTCCATCCACTGTATATGAGCTATTCTGCAATGTGAATGGTTGAGCTATACTCGCCGCATATTTAACAATTCGCTCTCATCGTATATGAGCTGATAGCCCACGAGGTACGTAGCACCAAGTCGGCTATCAGCCATATACGATGAGAGCGAATTGTGTAATTGTTAATATAGTCTTTTATAATATAGTCTAGCCATTAACTACAGCAGTAATATATTCTTCTCTGTTACATTATTTTGACAGTTGTTCAAACACAATCCGTATCGCAACTTTGCCTGTAATTTTGAAACGTTTTATTATGTTTTTGTTTTAAAACTTAGGGTGAAATAAATGGTTTAGCACAGTATTGTTGACAAAAAAGTTGAGATATTTTGTATAGATGTTTTGTAGAGTGAATTAAGTCGACTGTATGCAAATTAATTTGGGATTTTTTTGCCAAATTTTCTGAATAATTTATTCTCATGAACATGTTTTCCCGTTGCTCTTTCAGCACTAATATATGTTAATATAGTGAATGTACTTGCTAACTTGTCAATGTGTTTCTTGTAAATTTTTCCTTTTTAAATCGAATTTTTTTCTTTTTTTGTCGTTCGCAAAACTCTTGTCGTTTTTTTTCCGCCATCTTGTGTTTCGCTACTCGCCGTACATGAGCTGATATACGGCGAGTAACTCGACCAATTAGATTGCTAAATATATAGCTCGTATACGGTGGATGACTATATTATAATAAAATATATTGGATTCTACTGAGCCCAATATGTCAAAATGGAGTGGAGACTTAAATATTGAGCGAGACCGAAGGTCGAGCTTAATGTTGAAGTCGTGTACTGTTAATTCTGGCAGTAAAGACGAAGTTCTAGGAAGATGTTCTGTGACTGGTTGATTATGACAATGACAAAAGACGTAATTGGCTTACATAAACAAAAGGAATATTGTTCTTGCTTCGTTCTTTAGAAAATCCATTCAATAGCTTATTCTTTTGTCATTGTCATAATCAACCAATCACAGAACATCTTCCTAGAGCTTCGTGCATGCCGACCCAATTTTGGAAGTATTGACGATCATCAATTGATGCGATTTTTATTTGTGAAATATACAATAAAAACTGTCAATACATGTACAGTTTGTCACTTGTGCTGTTGATATAACGGTTAAAGCTTTTAAATATCGTGCGCAAGCCATTTTTAGTTTGTTGGAAAAGAAACACCCCCTCGTTTACACAATTTGTTTGAAACACCCCTCTGGTTTACACAGTTGGAGTATTTTTTCATTATTCTACATTATGGGGTACTCATCAAGGAATCTTTATGATACAAAACCACGAGCTGTTTTGCGAAATTGAGAGCAATTTCAAATCTGTTCAGTTTTTTTTTATACACCCTGTACAATATAAAATAATGCAATCCTTCAGTTTAAGTATTTTAAGTTAATGGATGGAACATTTGTTGGGTTTTTAATTTTACTGAACAACATTTCAGACAATTTACTTTAGTTTATTCTACATTATAAGTACCCAAAAAAGATATATATATATATATATATATATATATATATATATATATATATATATATATATATATATATATATATATATATATATATATATATTACGACAAAGAGATGGCTACGTATCGAAGAATTTATTAAAGATGACTAAAGTAAAGTATACAAATAAAATTTTCGGCCACTTGACACGGCCTTCCTCAGAATCATATATATATATATATATATATATATATATATATATATATATATATATATATATATATATATATATATATATATATATATATATATATATATATATATATATATAAA